AGTAGAAAATGAACTATCACTTAGAGCGCAGCCCAACATCAATGAAACTAATATAAAACAAAAAGATAAACAAGAGAAAAAAAGAGAATATTCAGATCTGAATGGTTAGAAGAATTTAAATTTTTGAAAAGAATATACTTGATATGTGTTTTATTTTCTATTGTTTCATTCAAATATATTTTGTGAAGATAAAGAATAACATTATTGATAATCTGAGGAGAAAAATGCACGTTAAGCAATCAAGACTGATCCTAAAAAAATTTTCCGAATTTTTTCCGGATTTCAGAAAAAAAAATTCCGGAATTTTCTGGATTTTCAAGTTGGAATTCCGGATTTTCAAGTTTAGCATCTGGCAACACTGGGGAAGAGTCTCCTTAAACTACAGATAATCATTGAAGGCATGAAAGAGATTTATTTAAATCAGGTTCTTTTATTCATTTAAATATTAATTATACTTTCAGTATCAGTTATTCATGCATCTGACATGACACACATAAAACAATTAAATTAAAAATTTAATCAAGACATCAACACATCAACACACACATTATCTGATAATAGTATACTACAAATAAAATATACATTAATAAAGAAAGTTTTATTTATTTTTTTGTTAAGATATTCTTGTTCTTCTTTGTTGTTTTCTTCATTATTATCTTTGAATCATTATCATCAAAATTTAAAAAGTAATTTTGATAAATTTCTCTATATACATCACTTTGTAAATAACTAGCTAATCGTGTTAAATTATTCATTTGCAAAGCAAGTTCAGGAATAAATGGATTTGGTTCAAATCGATAAATATGTTTAACATTACCCAAATCAAGTTTTCCTATTTAAAGAAAATATACACACATTAATATTACTGATAGGATATATTGCAGCTGATCTTGATATTTTATAATGTTTGAAAAATTGTTCTCATTCGCTCTACTTTTGGCGAATAATTCTGATTTTCTGACTTTTGAATGTTCTTTCGTAAGAGCACCGAAAATGAGAAAAAAACAGAATTATTCGTCAAAACTAGAACGAATCAGAACAATTTAAAAAAAAATCAGGATCCATTGCGGCACACACTAATAGGAAAAACTTTCTTTTTACTCACCAAAAGCCGGTGGTAAAACATTAATTTGATTTTGTTGAATATGAAGTTCTCTTAATTGATGTAAGCGAGCCAATTCTTTTGGTATATGACGTAGACGATTGTTACGTAAGACAAGCTGAAAGAAAAAAAAAAGTGATTTTGTCTCACATGAATGATTTCATACTACAAATATATCGAGTATCAAATCATTGACCAAAAAAGAAAAAAAAACTACTTTTATAATGCCAGGTTCTACATCATCAAATATTGTACGTTGAGTTTCTTTCTCACGAAAAAAAAAAAAAAAAAAAACATCACAAAACTTTAACATTCAATTTAGAATACAGCTAAACGAACACGTCGTTCAAATAAACAAAATCGTCATCGACGTGAATTATCACATGTGATACGTTATCCATCATTAAATAATATTGCTTATTATGCGAAATATTTCTTTTTTAAAACAGCATTTGGTCGTATTGTATTATTATTTACAATGTTTGCTGGATTTAATATATATTTTTTTTCTCAAGTTTATTGGCCCAAAATTTCAGTATGGTTACAAAATTCTACATCAACATCAACATCAATTGATACTACATCTTTTGAATCACATACTGAAAATGAATTCTAAGTTTTTACGTACAATTTGTAGGTTTTGTAGTTTGTCAACATGATCATTTGGAAATGTTTCAAATAAATTATCGCCAAGGTATAGCGCACGTAGATTACCTTGAATAAATATATACATATATATCACGTATGACAAAAATTTTGCAACATGTTTTTTTGTATGTAACTTTCAGGGGCGTAACTAGGAAGGGGGCGTTACGCCCCCTCTTACTCCTAAGACCTAGATACACACCTGATAACTCTGCTCAGAAACATGATAAAATGTTGATCATTTTTTTTTTCCAACAGATTTATCATTGGATATTTTACTCAGATTACAACATCAAATCATTATATCTATTTTTGAAAATTTTAATAGACTGTTAATACGGAACAAGTATATCATCGTATTATTTGCTACAAGAAAATATAATAGAAAATCGAAAATCCTTGAATTTTAGTTTTGGTAATAATTGTTCATTCATTTTGGTTATAATGTTTGGAAACTTAGTGTGACCTTCAAAGCATGAGGATTAGTAAGCATCCATATCTCAAATACAAGTGTAAATAGAATAACCTTTGTGTCAATTAATTGGGGCACTTCGCCCTGAAATAGAACGTTTTTTTTTTGTTATGTTACTCTCAAATATATCGTCTAAAAATAGTGAGCTCGGTGTACAAATCGCTAGATTACTCTCCTTCGACTGTTGAATGAAATAATAAAAAAAAAAAAGAAAAGATTAAGCTTAAAAAAATAATACAATAAGAACTTGACTTCAAATGAAGATGATGAAAATACGTTAAGGAGAAATCAGCACTAAACTCATAGGAAGTATTGGTCTTTTTTTCAATACTACAAACAGTCCATTGTAGTTAACGTCAATCTAATTAAAAATGACCTTAGTTATCAATCATGAAATAGGCTTTTTCGATTTTTCCCTGCGGAAAATAATTAGAATCGATCAGATTAGTCCCGGATCCGATCAGATTTGGGTCTGAAATAAAAGTTTTGGTCATGTGATTCGAGTAAAACATTCAATGGTGCATCTTTTGAAAAAAAAAGAAGATCAACGTTTAACGGAGTTACATGCAAAATAAAAAATGTTACAAAACTTCTGTCACATCCAATATATATTACTTAGTTGAAAAAAATCATTAGTTAAACTATCTTCATGTAAATCATTGCCAGTTAAATCGAGAATTTCAAGAGATTTAAGTGAACCAAATGAACGAGGTAATGAACAAAGATGATTATGACCAAGTTTAAGAATACGTAAATGAGAAAGTGAAATAATTGCTGGAGGTAATTTCTGTAACAAAAAAGAATTTAAATCATTTATGAAAAAAGATTTTCGACTTGATAATCGAATACTTTCAAAGAAAGTGTTAAAATAATAATTAATTATATACCTCAAGATGATTATTTGTCAAATTAAGCGTTTTTAAATGTATCAGATTTGATATATGCGATGGTAAATCTAAAATTATTACAATCAAATATAATTATAATAAATATTCTTTCGTTTTTTTGTTTTTCTTAAAGAAATATTTAATCTTACTTTTAAGTTTATTATGTGCCATATTCATATAAAGAAGTTGCTTTAAATGACATGTAACTACACAAAAAAAAACATATATATATATATATATATGAAATTTATCAATCAAATACAATAATCATTTTTATCGAATTTATTGAAAACTTCTCTCCATGTCATCAATTTTTCATCAAAACCAACAGTTCGAACTGTTTATTCATTTTTTGTCAAGTATTTTTTTTTTATAATTCTTCTATTAAATTAATATTTTCTATCTTGAACAGATCGATTGCTGCTGAAAAAAAAAGTCGATTTTAATATGCCACCGTATATTTCGTTAGATGACACTATGTTTAATAAATAATTAAACTCGAAAACTAAGCAGAAGCAGCTCGGTGCAGTTGGTACTAGCCGTTGGAGCAGGCTTACAATGTATTAGAGACACAATCTTGACTGAAATTCAACAATTTTCTAATAGTTTACGAATATTCATGTAGTAAGATATTAAAAAAATCAAGCGAAAAAACCGCAATTAACCGGTAGTTTGCACGGCATGAATTCTTACGCATATATTAAACGTCTATCTAACAAGAGAACCTGTCCGACTGATACTCTTCATTTTAGTTCCTATTTTTTTTCGAAGATAGGACTCACTGTATAGGTAAAAACCTTGAAAGGATTCGTATCATTAGGACCACTCTTTTCGAATAATGGATATTTTACTGAATTTCTAGTCTATTGTAGAATATTACAAGAAAAAAATCGTAACAAGAAATTCCTTCCAAAAATATTCAACAATAACAGATTTCCTAGTCACGAGCTTTCATGAGAAAATAATGTTTTTCTTTTTTTGCAAACGTATAATCTCAAACGAGAAATCCGAAAATTGAATGAAATAGCTCTAACTCGAGAAATGTCTAATGGCACAAATCCTTTCAAGATACTTACCTATGCTATGAGAAAAATAAAAGCTTCAATCGAAGATATCAGTTGAAAAGATTCATTCCAACGATGAAACGAAATTCTATACAATTTTATATTTAAAAAATACAGAATATGTGTGTGAAATATTCTATTGAATCCTTCTGATTACTTACTTAAATCCCAACAATAATCATCAATAAATTCGATATTTGTATCATTTAATATAAATTTATGTTCATCCAAATGTTCAAGACTTGTTTCAATAGCTCGTTTAATTTTTGTTGGTATTCCATCCCAATTAAGATTACTATTAAACATCTAAATAAATAAAGTATGTTTTATCTTTTGTTTATTAGGAATTATCATCTCTCTGTGTCTATTTATAATTCAATGATCAATAAAAATTAACGTTGTATGATGTTTTTATTTTTGTTTGTTTTCGACAAAAAATTAAAATAGGAACATGTTCGTTATCACAAAAAGAAAGAAAAAAAAAAGGAAGTGAGACAAATGTCAAAAACCAACAAAAAAAAAAGACAGATAAATAAAGGACAGAAGACATTTTTTTTTGTTCCTTCGACATATACAAGATGTTTTTAATATAATATATATATATATATGCATATAAAAGAAAATAGCTAACATCGATATTGCTTTCGAATGCAATTAATCAATGTTGTGCACTGGTTTCTTTAATAGAAGCAAAAAGAAAAAGACTGAAGTTGAATACAAAGAACAAAAAAAAAAGAAAGAAAAAGAAAAGTAAGGGTGTTGTTTGATAATAAAGAAAAAGAAAAAATAAAATAATGAACTACAACAGTTGTTATGATTGTATTTCAACACTACTGTTGCAAATGCCAAGTAGAATTTGATCCATTGTTATTATATGTACGTTGTTGTTGTTGTTGTTGTCCATGATGATAATAATTATTTCGATTGTTAGTACTACTATATGAAGCACCATTACGATTATCCTGTAAAAAAACAAAAGAGAGAAATATTACTAGTATTGATTGAAAACAACAAAAAACACCTGTTCATAACAATCAGATACGCTAACAAATGCAAGTGAATACATTTTTATAACAGGTGAATTGAATGTTGAAAGAGATAGTAAAAGTTATGATTATCAATGATAACAAAATGTTTTTATTGAAAACTTTTATGAGATGTGATAGAAGAAAATATTAGCAGAGGTCGGTAAATACTCGTACTTGAAGAGTCTGTACCAGAGATGCGCGAAACCACAAGTTTTTCTGGTTCGGATCTGGAGTACACTATTCCAGAATTTATTTGTATCACATCTAAGAAAATCCTTCCATACTTGTTTTTTTCTTTTGATTTATGTAGTCGATGACAAGCATCTCTTTTTGAGTTATCTCTTTTGAATTATGTTCTGATTAATATGATTTATAAGATACTTATATTAAAAACATAGAATATTTAACTCTAATCTTTATACGAGGTTACTTGTCCAGATGTGTCAAATTGCTTTTTCACTGAGACAATGCTCGTTTGATAATTTCTAAGTAGTAATAGAAAAACCAAATTGTTCTAGACTTTTTCTATTACTCATTAAATGAACATCGTCTAGGTTGCAAAGCGATTTTACATCTGGAGAGGTTCTCTCGTTAGGTATTGATTCTCGCAGATTTTATTCTGATGCTCCTGATTCCATACATCTCTGGTTGGTACTCATATTCGTATCCAAGAAAACTCATTGATTATTTTATTGTGCTAGATCAAATTTCTTGTTATCCGTCTAAGAGATATATCGATTATAATTCGTAATTTCAGTAGAAATATTATGAATCAAAGAAAATTGAAAAGCTTTTTTTCAAATATTGCATAATAGAAAATTTGTTTTTCGTTTTAAACTCCATGAAAAATAACTGTTTGAATTGAATTATAGGTTTCTGTTGGTCATTTTTTTTTTGGTTTATAATAAACTAATCAGAAATTAATAATCTTCTAATTTTTCTGTTTCAATGTTCTTATAATCAAATACAAATGTTGTATTATATTGGTCTTAGAAAAAGTAATCAACTGTACTGGATTATAATAATCAGAGAGCTATATTTGCCGGTACTTATGACAGCTAATATAGAACATGCAAATTTTATTAAGTATTGAAGTAAAAAAACTACTCACACGATTATCAAGAGTAGAATATGATAATATTCGATCTTGATGTATCGATCCAGCTACTGATGGAAAATAATTCGGCATGGAAAATCCAACTGGATTTAAATAGAGAGTTGTTGGTGTCGAAGAAGATGCTGCCAATGGAGCTCCCTGACAGAATGTAGCTGCATTTGGTGATAATTTACTTGTTGTAGAAGTATCTTTTGTTGTTTGCGATAATGTAGACGATTGTTGTGGTTGTTGTTGTTGTTGTTGTTGATATGATATATCATTATTTAATGAACGTGTTTGTCCATAAAGTGCAAAAAATTCTTTATCATATGATTGTTGATCTTTAAATAGAAATAAAAAGTATATTAAAATAATCATCAAAATAATGATACTAACCATATTTATTTGTTGATAGATGAAATTGTTGTTGATTTGGATATGTTGGTATATAATCTAGTACAGAAAATTCCTTTTTTTTTTAAAAAAAGATAAATTAAAATAGAAAATTTCTCTTACTAGCAGTTGCATATGGATAAGATTCAATTGGTGTTGAAAATGTACCTGTTGGCCATTGATCAATTGATGCAAATACAGGAACAACCTAAAATTAAAAAAAAACATTTCATAATGATATATTTACAGAAAATAAATTTAATAATATATTTTACCGTTGGTTGCATAGAAGAATATGGATAAGTTCCAAGAAAGAATTGTTGTTGTTGAGTTGGTATTTGATATGATGGTTGTTGTTGATATGTTCCTGTTGAAATTATTGTTGGTTTTGAATTTGTTTTATAATTTGATGTTTGTGGATTCCAATTTGTTGTTGTTTGAGAATAATCTCTTGGCATAGATCTATTCATATAAAAAAAAACAAATAATACAATAAATTAATTAATAAAATATCTACGGATAATTAACAAGTGTATTAAATGGAGTAAATGCTGATGAATTAATACCATTATTACTCTGTTGAAGATTATTTAACATATATTGAGATGTTGTTGATGTATGTTCTGATGCACGTGGTGTTGATGTAGGTGGTAAACGTGTCATAGGAATTTGTATTGGTACTTGTTGTTGAGATGAATATTGAGTTGGAATTGGAGATGATGTATCAGTTAAATGATCAGATAAATGAGATGTACCTTCAGGAGGAACAATTGGTAAACTATTAGACTAAAAAGAAAATAATTTATAAATAAAAATAAATATATGATAATGAAAAAAAAAAGATTTAATTACAATAGTATTATCAGTAATTGATAATGATGAAAGTTGATTTGTTGTTTCAATTAATGGATTATCAATTTCGTTCGTTGTTTGATGATTAATATAATTCGATGATAAAATATTTTGAATACTGAAATTTTAAAAATTATTCTATTAAAATTCAAAATATCTTTTATCAAAAAATTCTTTATTGCTTTATTCGAAATTTTTTCATCATTTTGATAATTCTTGATCTTATTCTATATCGAAAAAATACAATAATCGTCTTCACATAACGGATGATACAGCCTGTCGAGTACAAAATTTTCAGACTCGAACTCGATTCAATAGTAGTTTGTTATGTTTAGTAAAATGTTCTCATCGAAATCGAATAATCATCTCGAACATACGAGATACTAGTTTTCGACTTTCTATATTCTATGATGACTAGTGCACTCTACACATTTTTCAGATGATCAGAGTCCGATGCGCCCTAGATGGTATTCGAAAAATAATTTGGGAAAATGTTTACTCATTTTCTTTTTTAGCTTCTTAAAGTAGTCTACAAAAATTTGAAAATATTGTATTAGAATCAAAATCTTACTCTTGATTTTCTTCATGATTATCAGTGTCTACAGTTGATAATATATCTTTTTCACGATTGTCTAATGTTGTTGATATAATTGTATTAGCGGACGGACTAACTGCTATAGGTACAGAATCATTCCATTGAACATCACCAAATTGTATATCAATTGGTTGAGTTGAAAATTTGACTGTTGGATGCATTGATACAGGTTCTTGAGGAATTGTTGATGATATACGACGTTTTGATAAAGTTTGTAATGATGTTTTCATTTGACTATTATCAAAACTTAATGATTGTGGTATACCATTAATAAATTCATATTCATCTGTTAATGGTGAATTTATTTGTGTTAATTCTTCATCTATTTGTTTAGATATTGAAGATATTTCATTTGGAATTGGTTGTGATGAAGTTATTGTTTTTGTTGATTTATTATGAAGTGAATAACGTGAATTAGATGGAATAAAATGACTTCGACCAGAATCATTTCCTAAGAAAAAAAAAGAATTTTTATTTTCAATTGAAATTAATCAATTAAAAACAAATTTACCACGTCGTCCTATATTTGTACGTGTTGATGTTGAATATTGATAATGATCATTTCGATGATGTCCACCACCACCACGAAGTGATGAAGTTGGAGATGTACGTTGAGAAAGAGAACGTTCACTATCACTTAAATTATTACCATTTATTTTTTGATCAATTAAATTATGATTTTTCTTTTTATTATTTGATTTAGCTGTTTGCCATCCACCATCCTATGAATAAAACATTTGTTGTTTGTTTCTTTTTTTTTTGTTCTCATAGAATTTTATTTTTTTACCTCAAAATCTCCTGCACGTATTCGATTTATTGTTTGTTGCACATTATAATCACATTCATGAAAGACAAGGGCTATTTTTTCAGGATTAACATTACCACATGCTTTTTGTATCTAAATAAATTGAAGAATCAAGAATTTTTTTTTTTTTTAGAAAAAAAAAAAACAATTTGAATAATATATACCAGTAAAATCTGTTCTTTAACAGATACATCATCAAGTTTTTCTGGACGTAATCGAGCAAGACGTGTTTGATCGATATTATTCATTCTTGATGGCTGAAAAAAAAAAAATTCGATTTTCAAATTGTATTAAACAAGAAATATTACAATATTAAGAATAACTAAACGAATTATAATATAATTTCCTCATTATTCAATTATCGTTGGAAAAATCCAAATTACATAATTAGGAAATCGAAAAGTAATATGAATAAGGTTTTTTCTCAATACCTCAAAAAAATCGCGAACATCATCAAAGTTACAAAAAAAAAAAAAAAACATAGCGTTCGAAATGAGTAACCTACGAACACCCAATGATTACTTTTATTTTCACTTATAACAAAAAATGTTTTATATCACGTTAGACAAAGGTAGTATGCATAAAAACTGCGAACCACACGGATACCTATAGTTATTTTGCTTGTAATTGTAAAAGATAACAACAGTTACCTTGATATTTATTTGTAAAATATCTTATATAATTAAAAATCAAAGTAACTCATAGGTAGTGGTGTTCGTATGATATTCGTTTCGAACGTTATCTTTTTTTTTTTTATTTTCAGCTTTAGCGGTGTCCGTAGGTTTGATGCAATTACGTATAAATCATAGTATAGCTTTTGAAAAATTACACTTAAGTCTAACGTTTAGACAGTTGTATTATAATCTCATTACAAAAATCAGAATATTTGAATAATGATCTGATTTTTTTTTTTTTTTTTGTAAACTATAAAATGTTTCGCTGATAACAGATGAAAATCTTTTTTCTCTTCATAGAAATTAATATAACTTACATCAGATCGATTATTATTCTTTTCTTTGTGTAATATTAAATTAAAAACTAGCCATAATTAATAGAAATAATATATATATATATATGTATATATAATTATGATGCAATTCTCTTATATTTTCATTTTAATAATATCATAATTACGTATGAAAATATCTTAATTAATAAATAATTTAATATAATATTTATCTTTATTTTTAAAATCAAGACAAAAAAAATCAAGATTGGAACGATATTAATAGTAAGAACAATGAGAAGAATTCACTAGGGTTTTTTCTTTTTCTTTTTTTTATTCTAGAAATATACCAACGAACCAAAAAAAAAATATCTGTAGATCATAAGGGTTATTCTTTGGATAACCAATCAAATAAGTTTAAAGCATTAATGCATTTATTAAAAAGTAAAATCTTATGATTGAATAAAAATGAGATTAGTGTTTAGCCAAACATTGTTTAATTGAGATATTCACGACGGACGAAAAAAAAAAAAAAAACGAAGAACAAGATATATTCTTTTCTAGATTAAATCTACTTTATCATTCTATTTCTTTTTTTTGGCTTCTTCTTCTTCTTCTTCTTCTCTTTTTCGTTATCGTTGTGGTTGTTGTTGTGTCAAAATGGATATAAATCAATCGACCGGCAATAAAATGCCGAGTCAAGAACATATTAATTTTATAAATAAATTAAATGATGCTAAAATTCCACGACAAAGTCAATTAATTGCTAATCGTTTATTTATGAAAAATTTTCCTCGTGAAGTAAGCGAAAAAAAAAAAACAATGAAACCTATTCATTTTTGTAACTTTGATTTAAGACAACTAGTGCTGAAATTGAAAATTATTTTCAATCATTTGGTGCTGTACATGATGTGAAAATAATTGCTAAAGAAAATACGTATGTTTTCATTTGACAAAAAAAAAAAGATATGTTTTTTGTTTTTTTTTTCTTTTAGACATTTTGCATTCATTTCATTTGTTAATGAAAATACTGCTTTAGATGTACTACGTCAACATGCTATTGTACAACTAACATTTAATAATCATCCGATTGTTTTAGCACCTGCTTATAAAAAAAATACTGTTGTATCAGTAACAAGTAAGATATTAAATAGATAAAAGAAAAAAGTTTCAATCGTTTGTCAAACTATTGACATGTAAGAACTTCAGTGTTCATCAATACCTCGAACTATTTTACTTACGACAGAATATATCCAATTGTTAGACATCGTTCAGCTTCATATTACGGTTATTTCGAGAAAGACATATTCAGTTTTTGAAGAAACCTTCAGGATTATCAAATCACCCTATAGTCCACAACTCTTTCGAGTGATCTTAGTAAAACGGTCATAACTGTTCTTTCTAGAGCCCATAGACGTAAGTTTTTCTCAGTCTCACAGACAGCCGTAATATGAAATCGAATTGCGTCTCCCGCAACAGGTGGATATGTTCGCTTGTTAGAGAAATATTATAAATATCAACATGTGTTAGGTCCTACATCCCATTATTCAACGAATGGTTCGACAGTAACACCACCATCAACACCATCACGAACAACAGTAAATGGAATATCTCAATCACAACAACTATCAACACCATATCGACAACAGCTATTATCAACTCCACATACTGTTTATCCACCAATATTTTTTCCTGTACAAACAAATGTAAGAATAAATAAGAATTTATATTATTAAAACTAATGATTAATATTCAGATGCCATTTGTTCCCATGGCTGGTACTTATATGATACCTCAAGGTCCAACACCTCCGCATCATCCGGTAAAGATAAATGTTAAATAAAATGATTTTGAATTACAAAAATATTTTTTAATTTTAGCAATTACCACCATCTTTCTATCCAACATTTTATACTCAAACACCTACTCATCAACCAAATGGACATATAATTAATGGAGTATGCCTTTTAATTTAAATAATATATAAGACCTATAAAAAAAAGAAAACTTTCCTTTTTAGCATGCTTATGTTCCACAACCTCCGTATATGTATTCGATGGGACCACCACCAATTCCAGCACAGTATCAACCAACGACAACATTCAATGATGTATCCATGACAAGCGAATATTGATATATTCTTTTTTTTTTCTCATCTCGATTCATCCAAAAAAGAAAAGTCTTCCTACAATTCTTTCTTCTAGTATTCTTTTTTTTTCTTTTGCTCAGATTTCTTCTATTCAAAAATCTATCCAAAGAGAAAAGACTACTAAGTCGATATCGCGCCTTTTGAGTAGTGTGTGTGTGTGCGTTGCTTTGATTCTTCTTTTTTTTTCCCTTTGAGTGTGTGATGATGGTGCCTTTCTCACCGGTGTATTAACAGCTAAGATTTCTTTTACGCTTTTTTTTTCTTTTGTGTGTACAGCAACGTGATATCATCCTTTATGATCATCTATTTTTTTTTGTCTCACGCTTTCCTTCTATGTCAGATCATTTATTCTCAGGAAAACTTTGCCGGTTATCATGTTTTTTTCTCTTCTTTCTTTTGTCAGATATAAGCACACAGTGCCATGGTTTCTCTTTTACTTTTCGTCTTTCTGCTATACGATCGTCTGTAATAAAGATTAAAAAAAAAGACATACACACGCGTTATATATATATATATTACTTGCTTAATAATCTATTTTAATCAGACCGGAAGATTAAAAAAAAAAGAAGTTTTTTTTTTTGTTTGTGTTTTTGTTTTAAATTATGTTTTAGACAATCGTTGGTCGAATAACCCAATAACGATTGAATAATGACCCATTACGACGAAATGTAAGAAGAAAAAGACCATTTTTATTGAGTGCAAAATCATTTATTATTAATGATGTATTAGAATAATCGAGTAATGTATGAAGACTATGTTCAGCTATTTGTTCACCTTGTTCATCTAGAACAAATAGATATGTACCACATGTTAGAAAGTATTTGCCTCGAAACCAGACAACTCCCGTTGGTAGCTTATAAGAACACATTGATAATGTACGAATTGGTCCTCCAAGTAGTGTATACATTTGAATAGTGGCTATATATTCAAGTGAATAAGTAAATAGTCGATTATTTCTAATAAATAATTTAAGTGGTAAAAAATTTAAACGTATTATTCTTTGAGGTATACCCATACGTGTATAAATTCTTATAACTCGATATGTATCATCACATAGATAAATTAAACCTGTATGAGTTATAGCTAAACAATCACTACGTATTATAGATACACTTAATAAATTTGGTGTAAGACAACGTATAAGACGATTATCAGGAGAAAATATATAAATATAATAAGCAAGTGTTGAAATTAAATAAATATAACCATCTTGATCAATATGTATTTGTGAAAATGAATAAGCATTATGTATAGTTGAAGATGAATATCTATCATGAATTGATAATTGTATTTGACGAAGAACTATTGATGTTAAATCAATAATATATGTACCATTTTCATTAAGTAATAATAATTGTTGATTTCGATTATCAATTATTATAAATCTACCATCAGGATAAGCTTCTATAGATGATAACCAACGTGTTTCATTAAATAATAATTTGTATTCATATATATTTATATAATCTATTGTAGATGGATATGATGATCGATTATTGACGAATGTTTTTATTGTTGTTGCTTTTGTCGAACTTAATGGTAAGTTAGGTAATGTTGCATGTGGATATATTGTCCATAATGGTATTGAATATGATTCATATGTACGAAAATATGAATAAAATTCTTGAAGATCAGTATTAGAATTAATCGTATATTGTTCTAAAATAAATTCAAAAGATGTTTTTTTGTTTTGTGTCTCGTCTATTCTATTAGTTTAAATAAGAAATTACTTTTTGTAAATTGATCAAAACAATTTTCATATAATTCTGATGATGGTAATAATTGAGTTAGTGACCTCTGAGGTTTTATATAATTATAATATAATGCCGGAATTTGTGACCAATGTAAACGTTGTGTACTTTGACTTATATAACAATATAATTCATTAGAATTTTCCTTTCGAGAATCAAAAAAATCACGTAAAAATATCATATCATAGTGATATAATTTACAATCACCTAATTCAATATGAAGACCTAAAAATAAGAATTTGTTTTTAGTTCATAGTATTTCGAGAAATTTATCTTATTATTAAAAATAAAGATGGTTTTGATGTTTTTTTTTATCACTTTCTTAGAAAAGATTTGAATTAGTAAAACAGTATTGTTCAAGATTGAATTAAATTTTCTCTATTTCTACTCATAATACTTCAATGTTCCTAACTTCATAACTCATTATTATTAATAATGCAGACTTAAGCTCAGGATTTCCGACTTAGCAAATACATTGGAGATATATCATGTTGACATTGAAGTTTAGTACTAGTGACAAGATTGAAAATTCTTATGAATGATACACAATTTGAGATATAATTAATATGCTTTTTGCGTTGATAGTAACATCGTCACTCATAACTACCTTCGTTTCTTTTATCAATTCGACACTCGGAAAAGAATGTTTTATTTCTGAAAAGATTAGTTTTTGTTATACAAGCTTGTGTCGAATAAATCATTATAAACGAGAGGATTAGTTAGCTATTATTTCATTGAGTCGCTACAGGCATAGAGGATTAGTATCATTCATTGGACATCTGTGCGACTAATTTTTTCACATTAAGTTTGTTTTTCTCAAAAAGAAAAAAAACCTTTCAGATGTGGTGTCATATTCCAAAATAGTTGATTGAAATTACTCATGTTTCTTAGTATAGATGTTATTGGAGTTATTTACATTACCTTAATTCAACGTCTCGTATGAAATACTGAAATCATAGCGAGAGAGCTCTTGAGAATTGCTTGTCATAGCATCTCTTATGAGTATCAGATTGATATTTATGAAGTTAGACTCCGAGGTAGAGTAGTTAATTTAAGAAGTATCGAAAAAGAACTTTATAAATACGGCCGCCACTAGCAATGCGAAAATATTTTGATTATATCTTAAATTATATATCATTCATAGAGATTTGAAGATATAAGTTTTATCTCGAAAAAAAATTCTCTACAAAATACGTTAGGTCTTATCGCTTGGTGGAAACATTTTTTTTTTGTATAGTATTGTTTCTTTCAAATGGATTTGCTCAATTAAAATAAAATTTATTAATGCCTGGAGAAGGACGTCAATCATGCATATACAATTTATTATTATTAAAGAGAAAGTTATCAACATTTATTCATTGATGAAATCCAATTAAAACTACATTGATACTTATGATAGAGAAATTTTTAACACTTATTTGTGTTGTGTAATTTCAGTATATTATTTCATTTGATTATAGAGACTACATCTAGCATTTCTATT